AACTGTTGAGTGTGAGCCTTTTCTTGCTCAGTTCAGCAGCTTAGTCACTTGGAACGCGCCCATTGACAATCGAAAATTGACTTTTTGCAACTTTGACAAGCTGTTACATCTAAACTGTTAATTTTAGAGAAAAACCGATATCACATTCTTATCTTAGATTTTCATAAACTATCATTTGACACCAACTTAGAATTTAATCTATGCTTAAAAATTCCAATTAAATGTAATCTCCTATTAAATTCAAAGTTGGTGTCAAATGATAGTTTATGAAAATCTAAGATATGAATGTGAAATCGGTTTTCCTCTAAAATTAATCATTTAGGTTTTACACGCTATCAAAGTTGCAAAACAGTTAATTTTCAATTGTCAATATTTCCGAAACAGTTGAACTTAGGTAAAGGGTATATCACATGAAATCTGCTCGAAATTTCACGTAGAATCCAAATATGCAATCACATATAGGGTGTTATATTTGAAAAAACAAAGTTGATCTGGATAGCAAACAAACCAGAAGTGACAGAAACAACTTGTCTAGGTGCAAATGTGGGAAATAATTTACTGAGCAACTTTCATTGAGGCCACTTTTTCGTACACGAGGTAATTAAAAAGTTACAGGTATTATGCGCTACTTTTTTGCCACTCTGTATATGAAAAACTAATGACAATGACAAATACAATATGATAATAATTAATACTGGTAACAAAAACTATGTACATCATTGGGATCTCGCGAACGGTAAGATATACAGGGTTGGTTAAATTGGGGCACAGTTGCGTAATTGGATGCTTAACAAAATGCCGCTTCGATATTTAGGATATTCCGGAGATATCCGGAAAAAAAACAAAATTTTGCAAAATTGTTTTTATTTTTCTCCGACTTTATTTGAAGTGATATTCCAAAATAAATGTCACTTCATCATCGCCACCTTTTTTCCCCTAAAAGATGCTACCATCAAATTTGAAATCTGACGTTTTGTCTTTGGGCCACCATCATCAACTTCATTTTTTTAAATACGGACCCTTATTTTTTATTTTAGATTTCATAAGCTTCTGATGTCCCAAAATCAATGACGTGTTGCATTTATTCAAAAAAATTATATTATTGGTACTTTCCATAAGAACCAAATGTGTTAGAGAGAGGCAGAGAAGAGAATTTTGGTAGGAAATTACTAATAAGTAGAAAAATTATTTTTTCGAATAAATGTGATACGTCATAGGTTTTGGGACATCAGAAGCACTAATAATCTGAAATAAAAAATCCAGGGTCGTATTTAAAAAAATAGTGTTGATGATGGTTGCTCAAAGACGAAACGTCAGATTTTAAATTTGATGGTAGCATCTTGTAGGAGAGAAAAAGTGGCCATGATGAAGTGATATTTTTTTTGGAATATCACTTCAAATAAAGTCAGGAAAAAATAAAAACAGTTTTGCAAAATTTCGGTTTTTTCCGGATATCTCCGGAAGTATTTGGAATATCCTAAATATCAAAGCGACATTTTGTTAAGCATCAAATTACGCAACTTTGCCCCAATTCAACCAACCCTGTATATCTTACCGTTTCCGAGATCCCAATGATGTGGCTCGAATTTGAAACACCCTGTACAGAAGATATCAAAAGTACCACATTTTTTCAACATAATCGTCAAGATATTTGGGAGATTGTCTAGTTCTTGATCCACGACGGATCTGGTTTTCTAGTTGTGGCTCACGATGAATAGATTGAGACTGGTTTATTGTGTCACTAACATTTTCTTGTTCAGTCTCGCATTTGTTCTGTGGGAATAGGTTCCTGTAAAAAATCTAAACTTTCTTCTGATTAAGTAGGCATATTTATAACATGGTTATCAGCATTATTTTCCAATTGCAGTAGACTTTCATCACCACATGGAGCTAAATGTTCAAGCGAAACCGTTGCTTCTCGTACATTTGAAAGTCGAACTAACGCATATTGACGGTTAGCGTCAATGGGATCTACTTCTTCAACGAGAGGATCGTACTTTGATTATCTGACATGCTTTTTCATATAAATTTTTCCAGAAGTTAGCCATGGAGGTATTGCTGTACCATTCATTGATTTTCTTGAATGACGGAACATTCTTTCATGTGGAGTAGAATTAGTTGCTGTACATAAAAGAGACCTGATCGAATGCAATGCATCTTCTAGAACCGCTTCCCAGTGTTCGTTCACACAGATTTCTAATAACGGAAAAGATTTAAGAAACAAGTCGCTGAATTTTCTCTGAAAAGCAAGGTATCCACTTCAAGTAATGGGCGAACATCTCAAGAGATCTTTTCAGAGACTGAGAGTCTTCAGGTTCAGGTAGTTTTCGTAGGAGTTGAAGTCTAACTGGATCAGGTTTCAAGGCATTATTCTCGATCAGATATCCAAAAAGTTTGATTGATTTAGGGAGTAAAAACTTTTCTTTTCGTTTATGGTAAAATTGTATTTTCTTACAACGAGTAAAAATTCGTTTAAATTTTTATCATGGTCTGCTTGATTTCTACCGCATATCGCAATATCATCTAAATATGCATAGACACCTTCAAGATTCTCTGATTTTATTATGTAGTCTATTACCCGCTTAAAACACGCAACTCCGTTTGTCACACCAAAAGGAATTCTTCGGAACAGAGTTGCTTTCTTCTATGAATTTATTTAAAAGAAGGTTTTCCATTTCAATAGAAATAAAGTGTCTTCTGGTGAAAATCGTCTAGACTTTGTTTCAATTGGCCTGCGGCCTGCTGATAGATTTGAAAATAATGTAGGCGGATCAATTTTTAGGAACACCAAACTACAAATAAATGATGAGTTGTCAATACACAAGGGATTGAATGCTGTCTAAGAATATCATGACCCATAATGACATCAGCACATAAATTAGATAGTGATGTGAAGAACGTAATTTTCTGTATGTATGCCCCATCATTTCTAAGTCTACAAAGCAATGACCTGATATTTGAGACTGTAAGGCTGTTGTGGCCATTAGTATATCCAGTGCTTGAATGTATAGGTACATCGATAAATGAGGCAAAAGTTTTATTAATGTATGTTTCAGAACTCCCTGTATCCACTAAAGCATCAGCAACTACATTGTTTAATTTAATTTTGATAAGGCATTTGGTCAAACTTCCAGGTGCCGCACAAAGATGCATAAAAACAGGTATAATTGAGGCAGATGCTTTAAATTGTCTTTTGCTTAGACATACCTTGGAGAAATGTCCACATTTACCGCATTCATTACACGTTGAATCTTTAGCAGGGCATAACGTGCGAAAATGTCTTTTAGTACTTCCACAGAAATAACATTTGTACACTTTCGTAGCACTAGAAATGAGGTCTTCCTCATGTGCTTCTCTACTTTCAGATTGAATTGAGCTCATCACACCTTGAGAGATGCTATATGCTTCTGAATGCGTTTGTGCCTATTCTAGAGATAGATCTTGATTCTTGGCTTCATCAAGTTTCAAAGTAGTATTCTCCAACAATCGTTATCGAATTTGGGAAGAGCTTAAGCCACTAATGAAAGAATCTCTAATATAGTCATTTTGACTTTTTTCTGCGCTGGCAGCTTTGAAGTTACAGTCTTTACTTAGATGTTTTAGTGCTTGTAAGTACTGATCAACAGTCTCTCCAGGTTGCTGCTTCCTAGAGGTGAGGCAGTGTCTGGCAAATATTTCATTTTTAGGTTTAATGAAAATTGAATCCAAAATCTTAATAGCTTCTGAGTAAGGAGAACGCCAGGATATGTGCTCATAATTGTTGTGGCTTACATAATTCACCAAGAGTTTCAGTTTTCCATCATTTTCTAGCTTGTCAACGGATGATATGAGGTTGTTGAAAGTTGCTTTCCAGTGAGTCCACTCTTGTGCAGCTTTTGGAAAGTTTTGATCAGCGTCGAATCGTTCAGGTCTTAAGAGTTTATCCATCTTGTTCATTAAATTTTAATGATTTACTGAATTACCTTTAGAAGTTAGGCTTTAATAAACAAGAATTATACACGACATTCACAATGATGAAAAACTAATGTCAATGACAAATACAATAAGATAATAATTAATACTGGTAACAAAATCTATACCTATACAGAAAATATCAAAACACCGCGAGCTTGGGTTCGAAGGCGTGCCAGGTTTGCCCCATTCAAGCATCTTTTCTAAACCGTGGGGCAGCTAGAGTCAAATGCCTTCAGAAGCCTAGTTCAGATAGACCTATGTGCTTTTTCTTATTTCTCAAGTAGGTACCTCATTCCCAGCACATTAGATTTTTAAATTTTTGATTATAGTATCTTTCATGAATAAAATCCAAGGTTTTACTTTTAGTTACCTATTCCGCAAGAAGCTGAGGACACAAATTACTATTTTTTTTTTTTAATATAGTGTCAAAGTTTCCGCCAAAAATAAACAATTAACCATCCAAAAACAAAGCACAAAAGATATATCTGGCTTTAATTAAATAAAGAGTCAACTGTCGGTGGCAAAAAAGTTGTACAAAAAACGATTTTATTTAATTATCATACATTTTCTGTGCTCAGCTCGAGTCGTGTTTTTGTTGAGCCTATAAAATATGACAGCAATAAAGATGATAAAGCGCCACTCGTAAATTACGACAGAGCCAGATGCAACTTCTGAAATAATCTGACCTGGGAAATTTTTCTTTTTTTTTGCCACTCGTTTCTAACAAGGGTCGAATTTGTAGCTCAATATATGTTTCAATATTTAAAATCCAGATAAATCCTTTCGAAAACTATTTATTTGGACCCAATAAATGAAATTGAATTTTTATCTGATTTGTCCTACTTTAAAAAACGAAGAAAAATACAGGCGATAAATACGTAACTGAAGTTCGGGAGAAATTCGGTTACCTTTCATCTATATGAGTAGTCGGGTATTTCGTTCAAGTAAACTGTTTTTATAGAAATTGACATTTCAGCTTTCATACAATGTAGACTTTTGTAATATTGTTTTCTCTCTGATAAAAATAAAAAGTATTTTCTTCTTACCTGGATTGGCCACTTCACATGGTAATACTACAGTATCTTGATCTTTAACTTTGAAAACCTGACTCGAAGATATAAAACTGGGTTGATGGGCTGGATCGATTTTGATTTTTGTTGCCTGCCAAGAATCTGGAAAAAAAAAAATTATTATATTAAATTGGAAGAAAAAATAGAATTGTAGTGTGAAATAGGGATAAAATCGATTAAAAATTTCAATGTTTTGTGAAACTTATTGTTAGGTATACAGAGGTAAATTGAAAATGGGATTTATCCACTAAAAAAAAAATATTTCAATTATTTTGGCGACAATACTAGTAGATATAATAGAAAATTTATCAGTCCCATTGTTGTAACAAAATACATATCAGCAGTCAAAATAAACATATTTGCTGTTATTTTCCATATTTTTGGCATACCGCATATTGCAACACAAAGGCTATAGGGGATGCAGATAAAGAAAATGGAATTTTTCGTTTGCTAAAGTTTGATTTATTTTGAGACTCTTGGGACGTCGCCGGATTGCAAAGTCTTGCTTGTTGTAATATTATATTTTTGACAGAACGCGAATTCTATGAATGTATATTTTAAAAGAGAAGTGGTATTTTAAAAAAATATCAATATTCTTCTATGCATAAAGAATTATTTTAGTCTAATAGAAAAAGTAAATCCCTTCTGAAGTAACTAAGCTTATACCAGATTAAATTTTCAGCAAAAAAACCATTGCTAATATTAAAAAAACACTTTGCCGTTAGGGTAAGGAAGTAATTAGATTGAAAGTTGAAAGTTTTTAATGAATTTAGAAACTTTTTTCGTAGATATTGTAAGTAAAGTGCCTACCTGTTTTACGAAGATAATTACATTTTTTGGTGTCGAAAGTTTCAATATATAAAACAAAAGTTTTCAATTTCAAATTGAATTAATGCTTGAAATATATTGTCTTATTGAAAACCTATTTTTTCAAAAGAAATTTTCAAAGGTACTTCATACAATAATACTACATAAAGAGACCACTTAAACAACCATTTATCTCGTAACGAAATCACAAAATCCGAGCCTATGAAAAGGACCCGGATTCCCTATAGGTGTCCTATTTCAACAGATGTAGAAACTACCTCTTCCCGTGGCGACAATATAGCCGAAAATGTCCCCTGCTTGCCCGACAATCGACAATAATATAAAGATTGTAGAGATTGCCCGGCAACTTTCAAATGGTTTCCACTTACGTACAATTATCGTATTGTACTTCGACTTCCCCTATTGGCAGGTAATAAAGACCAACTGTTCTTGTATTTTTGTTGTGACATTTATGTTAAATTGGATATAAAGGAGGGTGGTCCTATAAAAAAAATTAAAGGTGGAGCTTTGGGAATTGAATAACGATTACAGGCAGCTTGGATATTCGAGCTTAACTTTTGATTTCCTCGCAGTAATTTTTTTTATGCTATTCCATCGGGATTTCTGTAGTAGGTAAAAATAAAAGGAGATACATGCATTGAGTGGAAATTGGTGCGATTCATGCCTTTCCTAATTTTCATGACTAATGACTGGACAGCATAAATTATTAATTGACTATTGCACTTTTGCTTAGCGTTCTTACTTGGAATGCCCGATGAATTGTTACTAAAATAAACCATCAAATTATTCAAAAAGAAGAAGGGAAAGACCGAAGATAGAAAGAATTTAAATTTTAGCGAGAATAAATACAAACCGTAATCTTCAACTAACAAACCAGCCAGAAAAGATAAACGCACAAAAAAGTACCTCCGGTACCAAACATTTCCCAGTATAAAAATTGACATCCGTCAAGATACAAAGCGTAAATTCTCTAGAGCTACATGCCCAAAAGTTTAAAACATAATTTAATTTCGGGACTAAATTTCCATAAATTCGTTTCCACATGGAAAATTCCGAGATTTTATTAGCATATGATATAAAATTTTATATGTCGAAAGTATTTTAATATAGGCACTAAATTTACCAATAGAGTTCGTTTGATATTAACTTTTTTTTTCAGATTAAAAGTTAATTTGGTTTTTGCAATAAACAAAATTCCACAAGCCAATGTCGACAATTTTCCCCCCGAGTGCATTTTCTTTTTCCTTTAAACGATTGCGGTTATTTACTAATATAAATTTAGTCCACGTCTTGCACTCTCGAGAGGGGAACCAGGATCTGGATTGCTCCCCAAAGTCAAGGGGATCAATCTACTTTACCTTTTCGCTTTTTCTTTCTAGGGCAGTGAAAGGGCGCAGGAGGAAGCTTTTTGTTCGGAAAAAAAGTCGGAATATGCATATATAACAATGTACTTGAGTTAACAAGGTACTTCGTGTGCGTGGACTGTTTGAAAAAAAAAATACTAAACTATAAGTCTTGAGTTACTTCTTAATAGAAAATCCAACAAAAGTTTTCATGTAATCTAGAACTTCTTTATTCAATTTCTAAGATATCAATTAACAAAAAAAAAAGTATATGTTGACACTCCAAAAAAAAAAATTATTTTTAAATCTTGATTCTTCGGTTTAGGACGGAACATAAGTCTGGAATTCTCGCAATGTGAACGTTTCGTGTTTAATTGAACACTTCTTCATTCAGGGATATTCGATAAGCAGAAAGATGGTACAGCAATGGGGAATCCAGCGAGTCCCATTTTCGCAAATTTGGAAATTTGGGTTATCGACAAGGTCATTGAGAGATTGCCGTTTCCGATTCCTCTTGTGAAGATTTATGTTGATGACATGATTTTGGCATTTCCTGCTGACCAGACTCATACAGTTCTTCAAGGCTTTAATGGTTTTCACAACAAACTTAGATTCACGTTGGGAATCTGAGGAAGATAATAAAATTACTTTCTTAGATGTTCTATTAATCAGAACCCAAACACAAACCATTTCAACGAGTACGAAAAAGAAATATCATCCGGTAGGTTACTGAATTTTTATTCGCAGCATCCATTCAAACAAAAACTTGCTATTAAGCTTGCTTTGAATAACAAGATTATTTCTCTGAATTCTGATCAGTTTTTAGAGGATAATTTGAATAAACCTAAATTAAAACCTTTAATGAACGATTATTTCTTGAAATTTTGTAATATGATTTTAAACACTAATGTGCAACCTTCGCAATCACATCTAGTACAGTAAATAGAGACGAATAAATTGCATTTACTACAAAAAAAAAACTTAATGGCTGAAATTTTGAGGGTGTGTTCGGGGGCATGTCCTGAGTCTAAAACTGAGTTTTCGTATTCGAGGGGGTGGGGGAAGATACTACCCTCTCTTTATGTAGGGTTGAGTTCGTTTTAATTCCTTATCTTCGGTGCTATTGCCCGTACCGTCAAGTCCGAGAGATCAAATTTCTGGGAAATAAAATTATCTATCTAATGATGATAAAATCAAGGTCATAGGACTATTAGGTGAATCACAATGGCCGGTCCAAGGTCAAAAGTGGGGGGTAGTTTTTGGTTTTTCGTGAATACCGTGAAACCGGTAGGTTTTTTCGCATACTGCTTCGATACCATTTCGAAGTACTTGAAATAACCTACAAAATGAGTGCGCAAACACTCATCTACTGTGAATAGTTTGCCGTCAATCCAACGACCAAGTTAACCGCGCGCGCTTAGGAAGCGTCAGAGCAAAAAACGCCTAGAGACATTTTCGACGTATTTTTTCCTCCTCTCTCCTTTGACAGCGCCCCCCCCCCCCAGGGTTTCCCAGGGTTGGGTGGGGGGGGTGGGAATTAAATTTGTTTTCGCTCGACAAAATTAAAAATTCTGTCCCCTGAAAATTTCAACTTTCTAGCTTATCGGGAAGTACAAAATCGGCGCGCGCGGTCAACTTGGTCGTTGGATTGACGGCAAACAAATATCCCTATTTACTGTACTAATCATATTTCAACAAATTCAATTAATTACTTCAAAATTCCGTATATACGGGGTTTGTCCGAACAATTAAGATCAGTGCGTTGACTACAGAAACCCAAGGAGTAGTTTTCTACCACAATGAAACTGTGGGCAAGCTTTATAGCTCCATGAAAGACAAATTACCCTTTGACTATAATTCAAATCTTATAAAATTAACTGTTTGGAATGCGATGTAGTGTATATAGGACAAACCAAACAGAGATTGAAAAATATAATTTAGGAACACAGGAATTCATGTACAGGGTGCTGCAATTTGGAGTGTTTTAACAAGAAAAACATACTTCCAGACCAGATAGAGGACTTAGGTGTCATGGGATTGATTTTCAAGAAACATCGATTGCCAAAAACTGTATCACGATATCTTCAATGGTACCACTGATACAGGGCGATTTTCGATTTTCCCCTATTATGCAAAATAGCTATAAGTTTTTTATTTACCAATTTTGTTTATTTCTGTAAAAACATTATGGAGACACTTTTTTGAGCACAATCCAGTGGCGGACTCAGTTTTTTTCTATATCGCTCCGATTTCGAGATATCGACCAAAGTCCGATATTTTCAAATGAAATACCCTATATATTAATAGATCATTGGATAGCTTCGTTTTTGCTGATTTCAATTATATAAAGTTCGATAGGTTTATCTCTAACAGTTTTCGAGAAAAAAAATTATATCTGTTTTTGTCATAAGAAACAATGCGTTAGAAAGAGACCTTCTTCATTTTCCTTACACATATAAAATCCTTTTCTAACACATTGATCCTTACGATTGAAATCAGCAAAAACAAAGCTATCCAATGAGCTTTTAATATATAGGGTATTTCATTTGAAAATATCGGACTTTGGTCGATATCTCGAAATCGGAGCGATATAGAAAAAAACTGAGTCCGCCACTGGATTGTGCTCAAAAAAGTGTCTCCATAATGTTTTTACAGAAATAAAAATAGTTGATAAATGAAGAACTTATAGCTATTTTTCATAATAGGGGAAAATCGAAAATCGCCCTGTATCGATGGTACCATTGAAGATATCGTGATACGGTTTTTGGCAATCGACGTTTCTCGAAAATTAATCCCATGACACCTAAGTCAATTTTCCTCTATCTGGTCTGGAAGTATGTTTTTCTTGTTAAAACACTCCAAATTGCAGCACCCTGTACAGAAAGGCATAGGGCGAAGAAGGAGCAAACTGCGTTGGCAAATCACCATTTT